AGGACGAGTAGGAGCTGCTTGGTATACGGTCCACCACATCCGACCCTCTACCCGAGAAAGGACTGGCGATTCGGAGTTCCTACCTTCGTTATAGGGCAGACCTATGGCAGCGTGGATCGTTTGAGGAGAGCAGTGGATCACACACTTTACGCGCTCTGGGAGGGCTTAGCACCCCGCTTCAAGGAAGTATACTACGCCATTTGTGTGAGGTGGGGGCCGCCCAGTAGAGAGACGCTTGACGACATCATAGATGTTACAAGCTGGGTGGACTGTCTGAGGCCCATCGATCTGATTAGGTACTACAGGAGACGAGCAGAGATCGATTACGCAGGGCTAGAGGACGCGAGATTTCTCTTCGAGGTCGCAGCTTAGGGAATGTCGGGAAGGACGCCCACCGTGATGCGTATAGAAGAGCAACTGGTAAGCTCCGAGCGTACTTAGACGAGGACTTGACGGTGATTGAGTGCAGACAACGAGCTAGGGATTTGATCCAGGAGCGTAGAGCTGATGTACTGGCGCGAGTGACCTTCCAAACCTCGATATCTTATGATGTGATGATATGGTCTCATGGTTATATGCGCATCGAGTACTACCACGATGAGACGGTAGCCGAGGCGAGAGAGAGGGTGAGAGGGTGAGCTGGAGGAAGATGTGGACTGAGTATGGAAGAGGAGAGTGAGGCAGTCGAGAGATTGAGAAAGCGCGTTAAAGAACCACTCTTGAACCAGGTAAAGAAGTTGGGGGACAAGTTAAGGGAGATCTGGTCGTGCCAAGACGAAGGCAAGTTGCGAAGGGCTGAACTCGTGACACGAGAGTTAGACAAACTGTTTAGGGAAGAAAGAGAGATTATCCAGGCATGGAGATCAGACTTTCTGGAGAGGATAAAGGCTAGAAGCGTATCACGCGAAGAAACTAGTGAGCGATCTGCAGAGAGCGAGACAACGGAAGACAAAGTAACGCAGGGAAGTAGCGACAGGACATGAGTGGGACAGCAGTGCACACGACGGATCGGTACTCATTGCATGTGGTAGGGAGATTGGACGGGCCATTGGTGTTAGTGATCGTAGAGCTCCAACTCCATACCAGACTGTGCATAGTTGAGGAGGCAGAGTGTGTCCGCCGCGCGCTGCGTGAGGCTAGGGGAACGGGACTTTGGATTGGAATAGAAGGAGGACGGAGGATAAAATACGTACTCCAAGTGACGCCTTTCGAAGGTCGGTCTCGGATAAGGGCATAGTACGAGACGACCCGAGAGGCTGAGAGGTTGAAGATAAGCGAGGCCAGGAAAGCTGGAGAGTTAGGGAGAGTTGTAACAGATGGTGCAATACTCAAGGTGTTAGCCGCTCACAACCAGTACTGGAAGGAAACGATGAAGACTTTAGAGGCGATAGACGAAGGGGGAGATAATGAGGACTTTGAGACATTTTATGACATATTGGAGCGGTCGGCGAAGAGGTTACAAGTCGTTATAGCACTAACTTACCTCAGCTGTTAGACAGATGACCTCGTAACCGTTGAGGAGATAAGGTAGTTGGAAATAGAAATTGGAAGCTCTTGGAAGGATAGAGGAAGCTAGAAAGGTCGATGGGCGACTTTGGACGGCAGTAGGAGGGCCTTTAGCGGGCTAACCGATTCAGGACAGGGTTAGGAGAACAAGCAAGGAGGACGGGGATAGACGTTCGGAGACTCTTGAGGGGTATTGATCAGGAGACATTGGCTAGGTTTGGGGTACGAGATACAGGAAGTGGTAATCAAGGCAGTCGAGAGCTAAGATTGGAGGCGGACGCGAGCCGTAATAAGGAAACAGGTCCGGGCTGCCGCATCTGTCACAGGTCCGGGCTGCAACGACTGTCATAGGGTCGGGTTGTAACAGTTGCCCAGAATACCTAATTGCATCTTCTGGCGGTCCAATGGAATCCGACACGATGGGGCCACAACCGACCGCGGACGAAGCGGGAGAGGAGTACAGGACATCGCCCGATCGAGCACTGAGGGATCTGAAGGAACGAATTAGGCAAGAAGCACCGCTGAGATGGGCTGACCAAACCAATGACGGAGGGTCCGACATGAGAGGTGAACCAGTCGCGACAGAACCGCAGGAGGCTCTAAAGACGGGTACCTCGAGCGGACGACGAGAAGCGACGAGGCGGCGCTCCCCCGAGTACGAACAGAGGGACGCCATAGCGGACAGGTACAGAGACGACTGGAGAGAGAATTTGAGGGATTTCTATTGGAGGGAAAGAGATAGGGACAGGGCGCCGCTCAGGCGAGTCTTCGACCCCCAGACAGGGGAGTCACATCCACTCCCTTACGAGAGCAAGGATCGCTATATTATTAC